AGCGTGGAAGAGAAACGTTCTCAGGCACACCAAGTGGCTTTGGCGTGAGAGCACGTGAGGTTGCCATCTGAACAAGGTCGTCCCTCACCCTCGCCACAGACAGGAGAATCGGTGAATAAAGCTGAGGAACCCCTAGTGTGTCAAGAGGCTGCTAGAAGCCAAGGTCCTTGGAAGAATAAAGAATTGGTAACTGTGAGTCGAAGGAAACCAGGTGAAGCAGGGTACACGCTAAGAAGTGTTATTCCCTCCTCAGGGATTTCCGGACAGGACTGTGGAGCCTCAGGGCGCAGGTGTCCTGGTGTCTCAGGGTGGTTACGGGGAGGCCCAGGGAAGAGCTGTGTTCCTGCTAGGTGCCCTCCACGAATCTCTGCCCTCTCTGCTCCTCAGCCCTGTGGTAGCACAAACGAGAGGAGTAAAAACTGTGACTTTGTTCAACTCTTACTTACAGAATGCTACGCTGAATTTCCAGTGAATCTTGTGTCATTATAAGATTTCAAGACTGAGTCGGAAATCAAGGGAGTTTGGGCAGTTTTAGAAATCTTTCTTCCCCACATGGACTTTTTTGAATTTCAAAAAGATTTTCCTGTTTACTTAGAAATTGACTTATTCCTAGGAAATAAAATTAAGCATAGTGTAGAAGAAGGGACAGGAGTTTGGGAGTCAGGGGACCTGAGTTCTTAGCTTGACTTTTCCAACTGCTTATGTGGCCTTGGGAATTCACTTAGCGTCACTGGGGCCTCAGTTTTCCCATCTGTAAAATGAGAGGGCTGAATCAGCTGACCTCTGAGGTCCTTCCCTGTCTGTGAAATGAAGGTACCAATAACGATGCTGAAGTGTTGGGAATTGTGGGGGCTGAAGGCTATTAGCCCAGGTTGCTTTAAAGCTTAGCCCAAGAACAAATGGCTCCAAGGCATCTATTAAACCTTTTGCCTAATTAAGTGTATCCTGTGATCAGTGCTAACAAGAAACAGCTAATCTTTCATTAAATTAGTTTTTAATTTAATTCTATCCTAATTTAATTTTGCATCATTTAAAATGTATGTTTTTAAATGGATGTTTACAGGTTAATGGAGGCAGCTTTGAAATTAATTGGTTCTTTGCTTAACCTGCCGCAACCTGAGCGCTCAGTATTCCAGTTTCCTTGGCAATTGTTGCTAACGCTACAATTCCCTTAATGCATTTCTTAGATTCCCTGGTGGTTTAGTTGAATGCTTAAAAATATGCAAGACAACAAACAGCTTGCCGAATGGAGGGCTAGATTAGGGGGTATATATAGTTAGAATTGGGTGCTGATGGAAATTAAAGACCTTTGTTAAGTCATCGTGTCAAAAGTCTTACTTTCCTCTTGTACATCACAGTTTGATAGTGTATTTCCTGCGTCCACCCAGAATTCCAAGATTTAAGCATTTATAATGAGAGGACTTGGACTGAGGCGCTTTCTACCTGCCTGGTAATTACCCGATGTCCAAAAATAAGGACTTAGGCCGTCTCTACTAGGTGTCAAGGAAAACCTTGGTTTGTCTGCGGCAAATGTGGCAGCCCTCAGCACCTGCCCTGGTTTTCCAGACTGTCTCTGTTGATGGGTGCTCTGGCCACAGCTGTGAAAGTGATCACGGCTGCCGCCTCCTTCCCTTGCTGGTGTGGACGGCCACCTGTGGTCCTTTTGCCGACTTGCAGTTCCAGCAGAAGGCTGAGGAATTTGGGGCCCCTCTTTTGGCAGGCACAGGTGCAGGGAGCTGCTCAGGTCCTCCCTCCTTTGCTGGCATTGGTGCCGGCTTCCTGCAGCTGCAAGGTGGGAGGAGGAAGGTGCTGGAGTGTGCTGAGGTGGCAGGATCTGTGGGCTGCCAGAACCCACTTGTTGTCTGGCTCTTGGCCCACTGCCCTCAGACTGCCTGGCCCCAGGGAGCTCTGCTTTTGAGGAGGGAAACATGGGAAGGGTATGAACACCCCTGAACCCTTGGCCCTGTCCGGACACCACTAGAGACATGCCTTTATGCTTTCAGAGAGTCTCTTCTCTCCAGTGACTCCATGTTTCTAGAACCTTCTGTGTTGGAGAGACACTTGGCAACCTTAAGTGGCCTGCAGACTCAAGCAGTCATTCTGGAGCTAGCACTGAGGCAGTTTGGAGTTCTGGGTGTACATCCAGAGCAGTCCCATGCAGGCAGAATGAGACTCTTTCTGTCTACACCCGAAGAGCCGATTAAATCTGGGGTTGGGAGCCTGGTGTAGGGGAGGGAGTGGTCGACACCATCCCCTCTCCTCACCCTGCCTGGAACCCACAGGAAGCCTCTGCTAAGTGCCCTCAAATAGGGGTCTGCGAGTGTTTAAAAGAATCTTCATTTAAAGCCAAGAATTCAGTACATTTAATGAGGGCTGCAATTTTAAGAATATAGGAAGCAAATAGTAATGAAATAGGTACCCTTTGTAGCTAATGGTTTGTTCATAAAAAGGACACTTGAAATTTGAGTATGAATATTTATATGTATGTATAAATATGTGTATTGCATTTGAATATGTCACTTGACAGTTTTATGAAGCTTATCCATTTTACCAAACTCATTACTGACCTCAACCTATCCATCCCTCCCTGCTGTTGAGTTTGGGAGCAGAGGCCAGGAGGACCATGGTGTCTGCTGAAGCTTCTTGCTCCTGGGTAGTGGACAGCGACCAAAAGCGGGACTTTCCTCTGGACCCATGGCCCATGGAACCCCTTTTTCCTAATGAAAGCCACCAAATAGATACCTGATATCATGCCTTTGTTTTAGTCTAAATTTATTTACTTCACTGTTATTTATTCAAGTTAAATTACATTTTAAGATACTATTTCTTGTGGAAAGTAAATGCTTCAGCACTCTCTAGGAAAGCCTTCTAGGGAGCCCACCATTACTTGCAGGGTGGATGGATGATGAGCTCGGCCTGAGCCCCTCATGGCCCTTGGGAGAGAGCAAAGCCTGAGGTCACACTGTAGGTCTGCAACCCGCCCCCACCCCCACCCTCCCCTTAACTGAGCGTCCTTGTTGGGTTCGCTCATTCCTCCTGTGTCTGAAGCCTCAAAGTTTAGAACTAACCAAATTCAGGTGACGTCCCAGCCCAGACCTCGGTGTGGGCTTTGGGAAGCTGGGCACTGCTTCTCCAGAACTCGCTTTCTAAAGCACAGAGTCGCACATACCCGCGTCCCACGGCAGGAACCTGCTTTTGGGGCATGTGGTCAGAAAGGTCTTTTGGTAGCAAAAACAAAAATAGAAAAGTCATAGCTCCTTTTATCAAGAAAAGACTAAGCTGCAGGCTCTTGTTTGTTTTTGTTGGTGGTGCAGTTTTGTAACTTAGAATTTGCCAGGTAACTTTGAAAACACTCTATGCAAATAAAATCTTGGCCTGTGGTCTGTTCGCCAGTCCTATGGTACAAGCAAATGTCGTATATGCCAGGGAAAAAGGGACTTTTTTTTTTTTTTTTTTTTTTTTTCAGAGTCTTGCTTTGTTGCCCAGGCTAGAGCGAGTGCCGTGGCGTCAGCCTAGCTCACAGCAACCTCAAACTCCTGGGCTCAAGCGATCCTTCTGCCTCAGCCTCCCAAGTAGCTGGGACTACAGGCATGCACCACCATGCCCAGCTAATTTTTTCTATATATATATTTTTTTAGTTGTCCAGATCATTTCTTTCTATTTTTTAGTAGAGATGGGGTCTCACTCTTGCTCAGGCTGATCTTGAACTCCTGACCTTGAGCGATCCACCCGCCTCGGCCTCCCAGAGTGCTAGGATTACAGGCGTGAGCCACCACGCCCAGCCAAAAAGGGATATTTTGAATCCAAGTCACATGAGTTCAACAAATGTTTATTTAAAATTTTTCAAAAAAAAGAAATACCCAGCAAGAAGCTGGGTCTCCAATTCTCATTCAGTTTAAAGCTGTGACTTCTCAGGCACAGACCGTGAAGTCGATCACTGAGGCAACTGTCGAGAGGAATTCAGGCCAGAATCCTGTTACAGAAGAAAAATGATTCAGGGTTGTTTTTAAGCTGAATTTTCCAGTGTCTTTTCCCCCCCTTTAAGTCCTTTAAATTAACAGTTTTCGTTGATACAGGAGGATCCTTTTTAAGATAACGATAAAGAATAATGTCTTTGGGATCTATATAGATGATTTCATTGCAGCTTGGACAATAGTCTTCATTCACTGGCATTTCAGAGACCCATATAAAATATTATCAGTATTATCAAGGAAGTTGTCTGTCATTGGGGTTTTGTTTTTTTTTTTGTTTTTTTTTTAAAGCCTCCTTGCTGCCAGCTGTATTGTCTTCATTATCCCTGCGACTCCTGCCTGCCTTGGGTGACTCACACCATTTGTCTGGTCTTTCCTTCCTGTCTTTGTGTGGAGATATCTCAGCTGTCCAGCGGGTGACTGACTGTGGTTTTGAAATGACTTTTGTTTTTCAGATGTCGAACTCTCTCAGGTTCGCCCAGACCAAAGAATTTTAAGAAGATTCATTTTATCAAGAACATGCGGCAACACGATACCAGGAATGGCAGGTACTATGTTCACACAAAAGCTGCCTGCTGGCGGGTGGCCTGGGGCAGGGAGGAGGGGGCAGTTCTAATGGCCACAACTCAGCAAAGCTAGGCCCACACTTTTAAGATGAACAGCATCTCATGGAACCTCCCAGACAATTTCCACCCCTCTCACGGCAGAACCACCAGAAGGAATCCGCAGAGAATAAGGGGCTTAGTCAGATGTGTAGACCAACAACAAACTGAATTTTTGAATGCACTCAGATTTTTAGAGAAACGTTTGAACAGAAATACAGTTGAGTTTTTATGGGGTTTTGTTTGCTTTCCTACTTTGTTGGTTTTGTTTTTGCTTTTCACCACCACCGTGTGCTTGGGTCTATAAATGCCCTGCCAGATCTGCGCCTGAACTTGGTTTTGGCGCTGGCTTAGATCTCTCTGGGAGAGTAGAATCCCAACTTCCGCCAGCAGATTCCTCCTCGGAGCTGATTCCTATTCCTGGGCCTGTGACATCTGGAGCATGTGTTTCGCCAGCTCTGCAGTTGCTCTTTGGAGAAGCGCTCTTAAATAAAAATTATTGCGGTCGAAATTTATATGGCCTTGATATTAAAACTCTCCAGAAAACAGATCAGAATCACTGTTGCCAGCATGCGTGTGATTGAGTGGCTAAGTCCATTTGTCTCAGCCCCAGCAGGAACTGTCCAAGAGCTCTGGGGTCCCCTGTGCTGGGTAACCCTTGGGGGGGCTCCTCCCCACTGACTTATATGGGTGAGTACAGACACTGCCCAGAGCCAGGTCCTGATGCAAAGACCGTCTTGTTTGATCTTCCTCTGATTTATAGAAGAACATAGGGGCCCCACTAATACTCTCTAATCCATACAAAATGAAAATTGCTAAAAGTGTTTTAGTTAGACTCAGTAAGGCCCAGCATTACTGTGGTTTGGTGGTATAAAATACACTGTACAGCCTGTATAACAATTACGATTTTTAAAGGCTTGTTTTCTTCAAGTTTATACGTATCTTTTAAGCCTTATAGGGGTACGGAACATAATTTTATAACAATTGCAGTGGTTTCAGAATAGCAAAATTGAGCTTTCCAAATAATTTTTACATAGTCAGCATATGTTCATATTTTAAGTACAGAGCTTTTACTTAAAATTTACAGAGCTGTTATTTGTTAAATAGAATACTCTGAATTTCTCTCTCTCACCCTTATTTTCACGTCACTTTGAATTATTGTGCCTTATTTATTAAACCGCTATTTCCTTTTTCTTCTCTTTTGAGGCTTTTACTGACTTTACAAACCTTACATCACTTTAGTATAATTATTTGTCATTGATTTACATATGTGATTTTATCGTAATCTCTTTAACCATAAAACAATGTAGAAAGTCTTTAATTCCTAAGTGAAATTCATGACAAAGTCAAAGGAATGGGTCAAATGAATAGCGTTCCCACCTCCAATGCTGGCTGTTGAGGACACAAAGTCAGGTAATGCCCTGCATGGCTGGGTAGTGGGATGATGTAGTCAGTAAAAGATTTGGATTAATGGGATTCCCAAAGTCCATTAGGAAGCCGCCTTCCCCAGCACACCCTTGACCCAGGACAATATTAACGGTCAGCAAAGCCTGCAGTTGCTGGCAGTTTTGCTGGGGAGTTTGCAGGGGAGCCAGGAGGACTCAGCTTATCTGAAGATCTGAGAACGGGGCAGGAAGGAGAGCTCTGCGAGCAGCCACCGTGGGAACCCACGGGCTGTGGGCTGAGGTGCTGGCCAGTGTATAGTATCTTCCCAGGTGAGAGCTGGTTTTCCTGTGCAAAGGGAAGATGAAAGGGCTGGCTGGAGGTGCCGGCCCTCCTCTCTCAGGTTTATTAGCAAGGATAGATTGTCCTTAGACAGATGAAAGTGAGAACCTGGCAGGAGGCCAGGAAGAAAATACAATTTCTGAGGTGACAGAAGGAAATTGTGGTCAAGAGCTGATGAATGGGAGAACGTGTCCCAGCCTTTCGAGAGCAGAAAGCAGCAGCTTTGCCCCACAGCAGCTGGGCAGCAGGAGTGGAGTCCCCTGGTGCAGGTGGCCAGGGCACATGGGGAGTTCCAGCCCCCACAGTGGTGGGTAGGAGGAGTCCTGGTCACGTTCTCAGAGGGAGGGACCGTGTGATGACTGCGGGTCTCCAATCCCCCTGCCTCAGGGACAGGAGGTGAGGGTGTAGCACCTGCCCAGTGCCCCAGGGCCCCCAGCAGGCTCCTGCCCAGCTGAGGAAGTCCCAGTCACCTCTGTCCAATGTGCCACGCTGAGCTCCCGAGTCTCCCTGGGACCCCGGCTGGCATGGCCCAGACTCTCAGTCTGCAGGCCAAGCCTGGGGCTCGTTTGCTCTTCTGGCCCTGAAGGCCCTGGTGTTGAGGCTCCTCGGTCCCCAGACCTGCTGCCCGTGTGGTAGAGGCCCCAGTATTGAGGAGGGTTTGGAGCCCCTGTTTGAGCAGGGACCACGGTGCAACCCAGGAAATGAGCAGGGAGCCCCTCCTGAGACTCCGCGTCTCCCCTCACCAAGAGTTGCAAGCACAGCTTTGAGATAGAAAGGGGGGAAGAATTTTTAAAACTGAGAACCAGATATGATAAAAGGCAATACTTGTGGCATTGAAAAAACAAAACAAACCTAAGTATCCCTCACGATAGGTAGTATCAGGGCAGCTGCTTAGAAATAAACCGTGGGGCCCAAGACGGCTCCGTGTTCTCCCGTGAGGAGCCACCGACTCCGTGACCCAGGACGAATCCCAGCTGCCGTGTGACGTGGAAGTGAAAACCCACAGTAGACGCGTGTGCTGGTGATGGAGGATGGAGCCCACCTGGCGTAGAAACCACAGGCATCTGTCTGGAATCCGAGTCCTGTGGGCTGGCCTCGGGCCCTCGAGAGGGAATTGTGTGTGGTTACGGCACAGAAACTGAGCTGAGGCGTGTTGGAGTCATGCTGCAGACCACTGGGCCGGGCGGGGGCCACGGAGGACCATTCCTGACACAGATCACAGACCAGGCCGGACAGCAATGGGAGGGTCAGCGCCGCTGCTGGGACCAGAGCGCAGGAGGAGCTCTTGACGGGCCCTGCCGATGCCGCGTCTCCGTGGGAGCTGCTCTCAGGAATGATTCTACCTTGACAGAGAAGACAGCTTGGTCCTCAGGGACCTGGGGAAAGTCATGCCAGACTTTATAGTTGGAAAAGGGGGCAGTGCTTTGCTGGGTTTTAGGAACACAGATCTCAGAAACTTCAGACTGAGAAATAGACTCTTGCAACTGGGACCATGTTGCCAAAAGAGATGATAAAGTTATAAGGATCACAAGGTGATAATGGGCAGCATTTATTGAGTGCTTACTGGGTGCCAGGCTCAAGTACTTAACATGCTTTATTTCGTTAACTCAAAACTCAGTAGGTAAGTGTTGAATAAGTGAGTAGAGATACCTTTGGTTTTTGTGGGGTGTTTTCGAGACAGGGTCTCACTATGTTGCCCCGGCCGGAGTGCAGTGGCTATTTACAGGCGCGATCGTAGTGAACTATAGCCTTGAACTCCTGGGCTCAAGCCATCCTCCCACCTCAGCCTCCTGAGTGACCGGGACTCCAGGTGTATGCCACGGCACCCAGCTTAAATGAGTTTCAGTCTTCAGAACTAGATTGCAAAGAATGGAAAGAATTTAGAAATACAGATAAATCTTGAAACAGCCTCATGAGTAGGGCATTGCTATCTTGTGGTAGGCAGAGTAACAGCCCTCAAAGATGTCCACATCCTATCCCCAAGACCCGTGAATATATGTTACATTCTGTGACAAGGGGGAATGAAGGTTGCTAATGAGCTGACCTGTAAATGAGAGATTATCCTGGATTATCTAGGTGGGCCCATGGTAGTTACAGAGTCCTTAAAAGTAGAAGAGGGAGGCAGGATTGTCAGGGTCAGAGTGATGTGACTGACATGAGAAAGGCTTGTGTGCCTATTGCTGGCTTTGAAATGGGATATGGATGGAACCAGAAGCCAAGAAATGCAGGCGGCCACTAGACGCTGGAAAAGGCAAGAAAACCAGTCTCCCTAGAGCCTCCAGGGGGAACCAGCTCTGCTAACAGCTTGATTTTAGCCCCATGAGACCCATCTCAGAGTTCTGACCTCTGTAAGATAATAGATTTGTGTTGTTTTAAGCCACTAACTTTGAGGTAATTTGTTACTGTAACCACAGGAAACTAAAACATTCATTATCCCAATTTACAGAGGAGAAAACTAGAGCACATAGCAAGAGAGTGGGAGGTGGAATTGAAATCTAGGCATCAGGTTGCAAATCTCAGTTCTCTTCACCAAACGGAACGGTGGAGGATAAAGATGCATGGTGGGTTTTGAGAAAATTCTCTGTTGAATTCTGATTTTTAAAATTACTAGCTAAAGGCCAAAAACTAATAAAAGAATGGCTTAACAAAACTTGTAAGAATGGGGTGAGGGGGACTAAAGTCCAGAATCAACTAAAGACTGTTTAAAGAAACTTGGAAGCCTTGCACGTTGCTGGCGGGAATGTAAAATGGCGCAGCTGCTGTGGGAAACAATTTGGCGGTTCCTCAAAAACCTAAACATAAAATTACCATATGACCCAGCAATTCGTTGCTGGGTATATACCTAAAAGAATTGAAAAGATATATCCAAACAGGTATTTGTACACCAATGCAGCGTTATTCACAACAGCCAAAAGGTGGAAACAACCCCAGTGTCCATCAACAGAAGAATGGATAAACAAAATGCGGTGGATATGCTGGAATAGTATTCAGCCGTGAAAAGGAATGAAGCACTGATGCGTGCTGCAGGGCGCATGAATCTGGAAAACATCTGAGTGAAATAAGCCAGACACAAAAGGTCAAATATTGTTCCACTCCACGTACATGAAATACCCAGAATAGGTAAATCCACAGAGACAGAAAGTAGGGCAAGAGAGAGTTACTGCTTAATGGGTTTGGGGTGGTGGAAAAGTTTTGGAGATAGATAGTGGTGATGGTTGCAC